CTGTGATGCCGTATAACAGAGACATTTCCTCTTTAACATTGAATAAGCTCCCTTTCATTTTTTGGAATGGTGCTTAAAAATCCAAGTTTTACATTTCTTTAAAAAAAAAAAACAAAAAAAACAAGCCTCCAGCACTTCCCTTGACACATTTATTGTTTTCATCTGTTGTAGTAAAGAATACCACAAAATAGAATTTTTTAAATTGTTTGTATTTTTTTCTCTCTGCTGAAATATAAGAGTAAGCCCTGAAGGTTAGCCTTAAAAAGTATTAAGACCTGTCCACCTTGGGAAAATTCAATAATTAAGAATTTTTTTCTCTACAGGAAGTAGATGTAAAGTAGTCTGTATTCACGCCCTCCCCCATCTGCTATAATTTCCATAGATGCTGGTTTGCCCCCGAAGAAATGCATCTCACTACTTCACAGCCATACCTTCTATGGACCACTAGAGGCATTACTCCTTCTAGGAATTAGGGAAATACCTGGAAATAAGGAACAAACTTTATACACAAAAATTCCACCATAGCATCATTGTATATAGTAGCATAAATCAGAAACGACCTCCGTGCTAAATGACAGGCAGATATTTAGTACACCATGGAGTGTGCACGCCAAAGAATGTGTAGTCATTAAAAAAAGAGTATTTTTCATTACATGTACGGTATGATGTGTGGAAGCAGAGGGTCCAAACTTAGGCCTAGATAAGAGACAGAGGAAATACACCAGTATGGTTACAGTAGTTGTGTGTCTGTGGGTGATATACTCAGGGATTTTGTTGCTTAGTTTCTTCCTTCTCCTTTGGTATATTTTCTTAGCCTGTGTAATGAACATATCTGACTCTTAGATGAGAAGTTTTTCTTCTAATAAAAAATAAAAGACTTGGACTCGGCTAATTAAGAAAGACGTGCCACATACAGTATGCAAATGGCTCTGTCACTTCCTCTCCCTTCGTTGATGGAGGTCCTTTGAGCACCTCTTGTGAGTCTTGTCATCAGGAAACAGAGCTGTCGTAGAATTCTCAACTTGAGGTATTTGCTTTTACGCAGAGAGTACAGTGCTAGCTGTATAATGAGATACGTATCTTTTATATCTAACCCCCCCCCCCGTTGTTGAGAAAATCAAATGAGTTTAAACTCAACAATGTTAAACTGAAGGACTTATCAGGATCATGTGTTGGATTGTTTTCATTTCTACATTTTTCAAAGACAAAGGCATTCTTTGAAAATGTTCAAATAAGAGCAATGGTAATGTGAATTCTATTTTGCTCTGTTATTACCGTGTCCTTTGTTTTCTGAAACGATGTCGCCGCTCGCTGACTGTTTGGAACTATGGTTTTTTCTCCCTCAGAATTCTCTAGATTTACATGTTTTCTTCTCTTGCATGTCGTATTTGCACAATGGCCTTGGAGAGCCCTCAGTTTTAGTTAATCTCCTCATAGGATGGAGGCTGTGGTGTCAGCCCAGTAGCTCAGTTGATCCGCCCATCTCAGCACCAGGGAGGACGCTGTGAGGTTCAGTTTTCAGACGCAAGGCCATTGCCCGGGACGTTGGCTTCTTAGGCAACTGTTCGGCCACCCACCGCCACCCCAAGAAAGCACCCGCCGGACCAGCCTCTAGTCTTGCCTTCGTGGCTACAGAAGCGCAGTCTTACTGACACATGCAGAGTGTGTCACTTTTCCAGAGACCAGCCGGGATAGCAGTTTACTCCTTTGTCTTAAGAACGACAACCGTGCGGCAGGCCCGGCAGAGGTCAGCGGGCCGGGCCTTCCCTGTGTCCACGGGAGCACGAGTGTGGAGCCCACAAGGGAGGAAAATGGTCTCCGGGCCGGATTCATAAGGGCCCCGGAGAAAGTCGAGAAAGCATCTTGATCCCACAACCACGAGTGGTGCTCTGATTACTAACAGAGTCAGGTCCTCTGTCTCCAGGACCCCTCGCGCCTTCGCTGCCCTTCCGGTTCTGCTCAGCTTCCGGTTCTGCCAGCTCCGGTTGTCCAGTGCCGAGGGACAGCCACACTGTGTGCATCGTTCCATCCTCGCCTCTCCTGGGCTGGACGTTCTGCCTTTGGGGTGCGGACTGGTTGTCGCTTATGATACGTGAACTTTTTTACTGATGGGCTGAGTGGGAAGTACCCAAAGGAGGTTTGCTGTTTCCCAGAATCATGAGCCTGTACCTATTTGTACTTTTTATAAATTCTCAGAAGAGCTTCCATCAGGTTGTGAGTGACTGGTTATATTTAATGTGGGCAAATCCTGTAATTGTGTTTTAACACTGACCCAAAGTGGCAACGTACCTGAGGCTCTCCACGGGGCGTTGTGCCTGACAGTCCGTGCAGTGTGTCCAGGGCCGCCCCCCTCCTGTTAGAGGTGAAAACTAAGCCAGACTGGGTCATCAGGCTTACACCCTGACTGTCATCTGTACCTCTGCCTCTTCCATTCATGTTCTTCCTCACGTCTTTGCTTCGACACACACCCTCCACTCCTGGCCGTTGCTGCTCCTGCCGCCCTTGGCCGTGCATCCCACACGTGTTCCTTGCAGTCACTAACAGACACCCAGTACGTGGCTCTTAGGAGACAAAGGCCGCCCGCCTCCCCTGCTTTGAGTAGCGCTATAGTGCGATGATGTTGCTTCTTGGGAAGGTTACAGAGGCAACGAGAAGGGAGATGGGCAAGATGATTCCCCTCCCTGAAAGCAGTATGGCATAAGAAAGGTGCTTTGTTTTGCCACGTAGGAACCCGGATGGAAAACACACGTGGTTTGTGTTTGGTGTTTGCTTCGTCTTCACCGTCGGTGACGTGTGTCCACGTTGTGTGGTACCCTCCTGGTAGCACACGCGCTTTGCATGTCAGCATGAGAATATGATGTCTAGTCAATGACCTGATGGCGGGCAGGGCTGCCAGCAAAGTGCATGAGGGCCACTGACCCGCGTGCAGTCAGGAGACGCTTCACGGCTTTCTGTGGCTTACTGTCGTCACTGTGGTTTGCAGATGAAGCTGTTGCAAATGTGTCCATCATCCCGAGATGCCACGCACCCTAAAGATCTGTATCGTGTTTGATACGTGTGTCTCACAATGTCTCACAAGTACGGTGCTTTGCTTGTTTGTTTTAAACCAAAGAAGGGGGCTGTTGATGTTTTCATTACTCTTTCTATTTTACACCTTTCTTTGAGGACCCCCTTGTGAGAAAGGAAGGCTGCCACTGCTAGAGATCCATCAGCAGACATGGACCACCGTGTTCCAGAAGTGTCAGCCTTTGAACTGGAGACGGTTCTGACCCTTTTCTCCCCTCAGTATTCCTCTTCTTGGGATTCGGCCTCTTGAATATGACCGTCTCAAGTTCACACAAGTGTTAGCTTTAGCATTCACAGAAGAATGTTAGAAGATGCAGCCGTTTGGGTGCTGTCCTGTTCATAGGTCATCTCTTTGGCTGTTTTTGTTCCTAGTGAAGTACCTTGGTGGGAACATACTGTCCTCAGGAAACTGTAAGTTATCAGGGAAACGATCTTTGTGTTAGAGCATAATTGATTCAAAGTATCACCAGCCATTTTACTGGGAGAAACATGTGCCTGTATTTTTTTGACTCATCAAATTTTTCCTTGGCTTTATGTGATAGAATCTTAGGTCAGTTGCTTCGGTTCTAAATGGGAGGTCATTGATGCTTTGTGATCCCTACGGCCCCCAAAAGAAGCAAAAAAAATTTTTCAGCATTTAGTAAAGGATGACATTCATATCTAGCATTGAATAAGAAAATGTGTTTACAAGCCATTTTGCAGTCTAGACTGTTTTGGAACTGTCTCTAGGACTGTGCTGTGCACCCAGCACAAGGGCAAGCAAAAAGCAAAGGATATAAGGGCCTTGGGCCCTGTGCCTTTGGATCTCAGGGGGTCGTTACAACTAGGAGCCATCATTTGCATATTGTTTGAGCCTGGGTGCGTGACTGGCCTGAGCTAGCCTCTCGGGCCAGCCATCACCCCCTTGCTAGAAAATTCTCTCTCTTTCTTCCAGAAGTACATAGAGGTAATTTTTTTTTAGCATATTGGCAAGCCTTACTCAGACCCTTAATAATCCTAACCTTGGTTTTCATCCATAGATGAAACCACAAAATCAAAATAGAAACTTAAAATTGAACATAAGGTAAACCAAGGAAAGTATTTTTCAAAATTACTTCACATAATTCTTTTGTGAAGATCAGCTCATTTTCCAGACAAAAATAGATGCTAGGAAAGGAAGCTGCTGGAGAAATACAGGGGAAACTTTTTTTTTATTAAATGTGGCAAACTGGATTTTCACATTTTGTGACGTATACTTCATTCTCTACAAATTCTAATGATTTATTCTTTATTGTCTTCATTAAAAAGATAAGATATCGATTGATTTTGGCTTTTTTTAGAACTTGTAGAGTGAGACATGGTGTGATGTTTGTGCAAAGATTATTAAACTTTAAGTTCTTAATTTAGAAATTTTCCTTTGGGTCATTAGTAATACCTCACAAGTCTAATTTTTGTTATATACTTGGCCTTCATTAAAGCTATTTAAAACTCGTTCCAGATGGAGCAAATCTCTCCGAATAAGTCAATCTTAAAATAAATTTTTGTTGCTTTAAAAAAAATAAAAGCCAATTAATGTCAAGGAATCTCACATTTCTATTTCTACAAGTTAAAATTTTTTATTCCCAAGTTTTAACTTAGGTATAAGCCAACTATTTTTGTTTATTTGCAGAGTATGTTGTGATTGTATTTAAACAACAAATACTTAGCTAAATTCATCAAATTAAGATTATGAACTAACTAAACAAAAAAGAAGCCAAGGGAACTTCCGAGCTCACCAAACTGGCAGAAACTACAAATCGGTTTTCTTTTTACAAGTTGGACGGTGCCAGGTATTATCCTCACTCGCTTAGGAAGTAGAAGGGGTTTAATAAAGCGTAGTTGTATCTCCTCCGGGATCCGCTTGTTGGCACCTGCAGTTGCCGATAAACTCAGTGGTGATCCTTTCCTTTTCACAGTGCTCCAGCTGAGGCTCCAACAGAGGAGGACGAGAGAACAGCTGGTGGACCAGGGCATCATGCCACGTAAGATTTCAGTGTCACTGTCGCCTCCAGTGTGATGTAACAGAGCGCACCCGTCCGGGAAGAACCTGGACCGCACTCTGCTTTCACTTGTGTCCACGTAGTCAGTATACGGCGTCCACGTGAGCTGATACGGAAAACCGGGCAACAGCGCTGCCAGCCTAAGAGAATCCTCTCAAAGAACATTTTGAAAACCAGATGCACTGTAAAAGATGGGCTTGAATTAATTCTGTATTACACAAAGAACACCTTGAAAACGGGGTAGTTAGGTTGAAATCAGTTCTCACTTCCAACATGAGCCCTCGTTTTAGTTTTGAAATCATCAGACTCCTCTCTGCCTAACAGGTCCAGTGTTACTTTGACTTGTGAAAGTAACGTGATAAAATTAATTTTAAAACTTGTTCTACTTTATTTAATTCAAGTTAATTATCCTTGATACAGTACAGTCTGGTCTGTAATTAAGTGCATCTCGGTTACAGGACTAATACACATTCTGTTTATAATTAATAAAATCTTTCTTGCCCAAGTAGATAATTTGGAGGTATTTCGAGGCCTTCATTTTTTAGTTGATTAATTTCAGAATATTCGCCTGTTGCCTTCTTACCTTTGCTCACCAAGTTTGGAGGTAATTTCATGTTTTAGAGGTGGAAGAGTGGTTGCTTTGGTGTTATGATTATTTATATGGATATTTGTCTAAAAATTGATCTCTCGAAGAAGTAATTTATATGGCTTTAAAAGACTAAGAAGAAATTACAAAATGAATTTATGCGTCCCTACCTTTTTTTGGCTTATGAGAACAGTTGTTCTCTGCAGTAGACTTTTTTCCCAATAAAACTTTTCTGGACTACTATTAATTGAGTATCTAAATATTTTGAATCTTAGTATTATGATAGACTCAAAAGATGGTTTGACGATCTGCCAGATTTCTCTACCACCTTCCCAATGATGAACCAATCAATTAAATAGTATCAGTGATATTTAAAACACCACTGCCAAGCCAGCTCTAGTCTGATTTTGGGAGCTGCTCCCTAGACAGAAACCTGTATGGGCTTGTCTCCTGGGAATCTTTGCAGTGCTTCAAGTACCAGAGCTGAAAATAATCCTACCCAGAGAGTCAAGTTTTAGAGGTGACGGCCCAAGTAAACCTAGCCCAAATCCTATGCACAGCGTCTGACTGCCTGTAGTTCTTACAGGTGGACATACACACAAAAGATTTTGCAAAGATAATTGATAGAAATACTGTAGTAAGTGATGTTTTAGTAAAACACTGCTTATCCTCCCTCTGGGATTCTGGAATGTTTAAAGTACTAGTAGTTAACATATTAAAGAATCATTAGGTCTTTAGGGTGAGTTGCACTGTGGTACAATAGAAAGAGCATGACACCTTCTAATTCACAATGCTAGACTTAGATTCCACTTTGATCACAATTTAGCTATATGGCTTCGAGAATTTGGGTAACCACTTTGAGCCTTTCGTCTGTACTTGGCCTGATACCTACCTTGCGAGGTGGTGACGATCAGCCACGATATAACTGTGATTGACCACAGGGCGTAGGACTATGTCCAATGTGGGGTCTCAGTGAATGGTAACTCAGCTCTGCTAGACAGAAAGTGTAGCATGTCCTCGTGTCCAAGGTTAGACCACTCGTAGGCTAAACGTCCTCTGGACATTTGGGCTTTTTCTGGTATCTTTTATGGCCACTAAGAGCAAAGACCCATCAAGGAGTCATCACACGTTTCCCTTGGTGATGGTAATTTGGCCCAACTGTTGGCTCCAAGTAGTCTGACCTGGTACTTGTATTGTCATTATGTGTACAACTCTGTCCTCAATGTTCACTTGTTTTATTTGTGAATATATGATTTTAATTCTGAAACGTCTAAGGTTTCAAATTTTGCAGATCTCCTAAAGGAACTAGTAATAAATGGAACTGTAGATGCAAACTAGTAAGATTAAGAAGGAACATCAACATAATGTACCCTAACGTTTGGCTGAAATATTAACTCGTCTGTCTACATGGTTCTTATTCTTCTCACAGCTTTGAAGAGCCCAGCTGCATTCCATGAGCAGATAAAAAGCTTGGAACGAGCCAGAGTAAGAAATTTCAGTTTCAGAGGTTCTGCTTCTCTGCTTCTCTCTTGTATTTTAAAGTACCTATGGGCAAGTAGCAATCTTACTCCTAAATATATCCATAGAGAAAATGCAGTGTATTTTCAGGACAGGTGGCTTCCAGAGTTATATATTCTGGGGTAGTTGAATCTTGGAAGTTTGTAGAAAATGCATGATGTTCAAATTTTGTTCTTTTAAAGCCAGTAACTGGTTTTGTACATAAAGGACAAATCGCATTTCTTCATTTCAGTGTTGGGGCATACCAACAGGTTTTAGAATAACCATGGAGTATTTCTGCCGCTTGTTACCCCAGCAGACCGACAGCCCAAGTGGTGTCCCGACAACCACACATCTTTAGGTGGTTTCCTTACTGGGTCTGCGTCCGCTGTACGTTTGACCAAGGGCAGGAGAATCTGGCTGAATTAAAGAAGTTGCTGTGTTTCAACTCCACTCTATTCTTTGAGAGTTTTCCATGCCATTTGCACATCGAATTCATGTTCATTACTTTTGTTTAAAAGTACCATTATGCACATTCATTCTTTTTGCTTTAGGGAATACTTCTATCATGCAATATGAAAATAAGCATGTTCCAAAAATTCCGTAGGAATTTTCCCAGAAGGCGATAATGATCTCTTAGAATCTTGTAAAATATAAAACCCATTTGAAAGACTTATTGTTTCAGTTGAGAACCTTTCTGAGTAAGAAAGTATGATCAAGGATATAAATTCATCAATGAAAACACATTAGGATTTTAAGGAAATTTGTTATTTAGGTGGATTTTTACTTGACCTGAAGTGTAGCTATTAGATATTTAAATGATCAAAATCCTATGTCTGTGCAAATTATGAGCCTTTTGCCTTTTCCAAGTTTTAAAATAAAAGTCTGTAAAGTGCTTACTTTATGCCAGCATGCATTTCAAGTGCCTGTGCAGTTTTGAAGGCTGCAGTTTAAATTATGTATTGGATAATAGCTCTTCAAAGTACTAATTGCTACTCTTTTCTTCTCAAAATCATGACCAAAGAGTATACAATTTATTTAAATGGAGTACCTTGAGAGAAAAATGCAAAACCACAATAAGTCATAAACAATTTATAGTAAGACTCACTCTCTTCTCTCTCTTTCTCTCTCTCTCTGTCTCTCTCTCTCTCTCTCTCTCTCTCTGTCTCTGTCTCTCTCTCTCTTTCTCTCTCTCAAGACTGAAAACTTTTTGAAGCATAAGATTCGGAGCCGACCAGATCGTTCTGAACTTGTCAGGATGCACATTTTAGAAGGTAAAAATGTTTATTTCTGCTTATTTTGCTGCATTTTCTCAAGAAAAGAAGTGAGAATTCCACCATTGCTGTTTATTCCCATCTTAATAACTTTTTACCCCACAGGCTGACATCCTCCAAATTGGATAGCCAACATGAAGACCCAAAGCTAAAATGTTATGTTAGATACATGGGGAAGGTTTGATTCTCCAAATAACCACTTGATGAACTGACTCTGCCCCACCAACTGGTGCTGTAGATGTCTCTACCATCTGTTCTGGAAAAACATTTTTGGTCCAGAGGATTTCTTCATCAGTGAGGAATATTTTCCCATTAAGTCATAAAGGGTACAGTGGCCACAAGTGTAACCCTAGATTTTCACCTATCTGGATGGACCCTGTTATATCTACCTGGTGCACTGCCCACACCTAACATCTTTTGTTTGTCATTACGTACCCACAACAGTCCAGCTTGATCTGACCATTAATATAAATACTCTCCACTTAGCCCACCGGATTTCCTCAGTGGTCTAGCTTCATCACTTGTGAAGCTGGTAGGGACAGTTCTGTTCTGTCTCTAGTGAGACACATGACTCAGACCAGAATGTTTTTCTGTCTAAAGACAGAGCATTCTTAAAAGTATTCCCCCCCCCCCCATAAGCTCCTGAGTACGTTTTCTTTCATTGTTTTGTTCCTCAGACTGATTTATTAAGCAAGGACTAGGAGCTTGACCCGTGATAGTCTTGAGTGTGTTAAACCCTGAGATGATACAGAAAGAATCTGGAAATTTCTCACAAAGATTCAGAGACTCTTCTCAAGTAGGAATATTATATTTATTCCTCTGGTCTAATGATAGAGTTAGTATTAGAATTAGGTTGATATTACAAAGTATTAGATTGGCGCTCATCATAAGGAGTAATATCCTGAAGGTCAGACATGTTTAAAACTGTCCCAGAAGCAATAAGGTTATGCTCATTTGAGGCGGTCATTCATTGGCCAGTGAACTAGACCCCAGAGACCCAGCAAATGAGCCAGATCCATGCCTGCTTTCATGAAGCTTACAATCTAGTAGCAGAGACAGATAATAAACAGGCAAAACAAATGAATTACAGATTGTGAAAAGGGCTCGATGGCAGTAAACAGGCTGTTGTGGTGGGGACGAAGCACAGGATGACACCACAGTAGGATGTTGTAAACAAATTCCAAGTAGCAAGTCGGTATCTTCATCCCCAAGTAGGGTCTCTTCTAATCCAAAGAATCTATGATTATGTGACTATCTCCATATCTGGGGTGGGAAGTGACGGGTATATGCCTTCCACTACTCTTAGTGTGTTCTCAGAAGTCCATTGGGCTAAAAAAGCTTTTCCAGAACTCAAGTGGTAGGGTAGAAACAGCTACCAAAAAATGTCAGGGTTAAGTGAATCTTCAAGAAGCAATTGTGGTGGTAAGTAACTGGGGACGGGGCTCCTTCTGCACCTAAAAATACCTCGACCTATAAAGGACATTTTTGAAGGAACAATGCTGTCTGTTTCAACTTGCCTTCTAACAGGCTTTATTAATATAATTAAAACCAAAGCAAATACATTGAACTATCAAAAAGAATCATATTTGCTTTAAAAAAAGAAGAAGAAGAAGAAGAAGAAGAAGAAGAAGAAGAAGAAGAAGAAGAAGAAGAGGAAGAAAAGATTACCCAATGGTTAAAAACCCAACTATGTGCATGAGCGGGCCCGTAACTGATGTTTTTTTAGTATCTGTTCTCAAGTTGGGATTTTTAAAGTAAGAAAGAATATATATTGTTTGTAATTTTAAAAAATAACTTCAAACCCCCCAACTTATTTTAACATTACCCCAATTTTGATTGAATTGGATGTTTGGCAGGCAAAAGTCTAAATTATTTTTCTGAAGTTCAGCTAAAATCTAACCTCAGCATCGTGGAGATGAGGAGATCACAAGACCAAAAACAGAAACATACCAAAATCCCAGCGTCTAATCATTTACTTTCGGGATATTTTCATTCCAGACATATTCCTGATATGGAAATGTTGATGGGAGAAAGGAGAAAGGCAGAAGACTGTCCTACCTAGATCTTAACAACAGCATTTAAAATCACCCTAAGAGTGATTGGCATGGTCTCATTCTCTCTACCTGTCATCTTCCTGTGTGGTTAGAAGTGGTTTATGTAATAAGATGGGGGCCACAGCCTAAGGTTATACAGGAAAATGTTAAAAATGAGAGGTCACACATGATATCTTCACTTACAGAAATGTTCATTTATTAGCCAATACTCTGATTTAAGACCAGGGCCCTCATTAGGGAAGTGAATGGAGTTTACATCATCTTTCTTGCATGAAGCACAGCTATCATACGTCATCTACAATTTCCATTTAGGGTGGAAAAAACAACATAAAGACACTTGAAAAGCAATCTGAGTTGGAAAACCCTAGATTTTATAATTTTTCCCAAATATTTTAGTTGTTAATTGCCCTAATTTGACAGTGACTTATTCTGTAATAACCCACCTTTATCAAATCATTCCAAAGGATTTAACTTAGGTTCCCAAGAAATAGTCTTATTTTTGAAGTTTATCATTTTCCTAGAAGATGTAGTTAAACTATGTATTGACAGCAGATATGAAATGATATGAACTGTTTTGTGGACCCTCAAGGTTGATCTTTGGTAAGCGTGTAGTTCAGCTGGTGGAAGGAAAAGCACTCGGATGTGCTGGGGAGTAATTCACGGGCCGTGGGCTTTTGGTGTGCTTTGGGCTTCAGCCAGGACGTCGTACCCACTAAAAAGAGAACATCAGTTAATCCTGAGATAACTTATGGGGATTTTCATTAAAAGACCTTCTGCTATATAATTTAAGTGGCAGGCAACTGTCACCTCAGAATTTGGGGTTAACACCTCACCATGTTTTTAATCACTTCTAAGCATTACTTAGAACAATGTAATAAAATGTTAATGAGAGGTACCAGAAGCCAAGTCATTGACACAGTTACCCAGATGAATGAGCTAGGATACTTACGTTACTTTTGCATTTGTTGTACAACTTCCTGTTTGCAAGTAGATGAGCCGAGCCTTCTTTATGACCATTGACATCTATCTTTATGACATAGGACTATGTAATTGAATGTTCCAAGGTTATATACCCAGAAATAAACCCAGATTCTTAGTGAGGATGATTGAGACACACAAGGATCAACCCAAGAATTTGATTCTGGCTCTTCCTTTGGCTCCTGCAGAGAAGCTTTAGGACCTAACTAAGTAAGAGAACAGTGCCACGTCTCGCAGCTGACTTTGCAGTGAGGCCAGATCACACCTGGACACTTCTTGGGCCACGGATGGACCACATCCCTCGTGTTCATCCTCCAGACCTCCCAATACCTAACAAATGTGACTGTGATCCTCTCACCATAAATGAACAAGAGCAGTACCACATTTTTGGCTTGAGTTCATGTTAATTTGCGTCTAAGGGCATTATATAGACAGTATCAAGTATCCAGGACTAAAAATATACAGCGTACACTACAGCATTCTTAAACAGCCTACTTCTCTTTCCATCAGTGTGTTGAGAACACATAAATATGTTTAACCCAGTTTAAATTAAATTAGATTCACTTGGCCAGAAGTAACATTATGGAACCGAGTAATTCAAGTAATGGTTAAAACTATGTTTCCTCTTTTAGAAACATTTGCAGAACCATCCCTGCAGGCTACTCAGATGAAGTTGAAAAGAGCTCGACTAGCGGATGATCTGAATGAAAAGATTGCTCAAAGACCTGGTCCTATGGAGCTGGTAGAGAAAAACATCCTTCCTGTAGACTCCAGTGTTAAGGAAGCAATTATAGGCAAGACTCTAAAAATTTATTATTTCTGGGAGAAAGAGAAACTTGGAAGTTTCAAACAAATTTAATTTAAAAAGCCAGGACCAGGGGCACCTGGGTGGCTCAGTCACTTAAGAGTCCGACTCTTGATTTTGGCTCAGGTAATGATCTCCTGGTTCATGAGATCGAACCCCACGTCAGGCTCTGTGCTGTCGGTGTGGAGTCGGATTGGGATTCTCTCTCTCTCTCTTTCCCCCTCTCTCTCTGCCCCTCCCCCTCTCGTGCACATGCCCTCTCTCTCTCTCTTAAAATAAATAAACATTAAAATAAAAAAGCCAGCACCAATCATGAGTATTGTTTTCTGGGTGAATTAGAAATCGATTAATACTTGCACCAATTCCCGTTATTCTTGGGATTTTTTTTTGTTTGTTTTTTATGTAATAAGGTAGATGAAGCATCTCTTACCAGTTAACACAGAAGTTCCTCTTGTCACGTCTGAGGTTTCTGTCCTTAAGTTCCAATTTCATTCTAACATCTTTTTTTTTTTAATTTTTTTTTTAATGTTTATTCATTTTCAGCAGAGACAGAGCACAGGTGGGGAGGGGCAGAGAGAGAGGGAGACACAGAATCCAAAGGGGCTCCAGGCTCTGAGCCGTCAGCACAGAGCCCGACGTGGGGCTTGAACTCATGGACCGTGAGATCATGACCTGAGCTGAAGTTGGACACTCAACCGACTGAGCCACCCATGCGCCCCTCATTCTGACGTTTTCTTTTTTTCAACGTTTATTTATTTTTGGGACAGAGAGAGACAGAGCATGAACGGGGGAGGGGCAGAGAGAGAGGGAGACACAGAATCGGAAACAGGCTCCAGGCTCTGAGCCATCAGCCCAGAGCCTGACGCGGGGCTCGAACTCCCGGACTGCGAGACCGTGACCTGGCTGAAGTCGGACGCTTAACCGACTGCGCCACGCAGGCGCCCCATGTTTTCTTAATTCAACTTACTCATTATACTATTTAATTTCTGTTGTGTTGTTTAAGATCCTTACAGATTTTTCATTACTTAATTCTGTGTACTTCTAGGAAAGATGAATATCTTGTTCAGTGTTAGTTCAACAACGTAAATAGCACATGAGGACAGATGTATTTATTAAGAATGGTAAAATTTGTCCATTTTATCCTGATCTTATCATAGTTACTAATGTTTCCTCACCACGCATACTTTATATTCCGGCACAAGTTTTAGCAGAAACAATAATAATAATAATACCGCTTGTTCAGCAAGCAATTTTGAAAAGTTAATATCCTGCTATAAAAACTAGTCTTGTTTCCATTACTCTGGGGACTTCATATTTTGCATGAGTATGGGTTTAAATCTCAGGCAATTTGTAGTCAGTAATTCTAAGTAGTACATTCAATGATGATTCCATTCAATCCCAAAGAAATGGGCCCCAAAAGGCAAGACATCAGCGTAACTGGGCCTCTCCATGAAGTGGGACTCATCCGCAGATACCGAACCATAGCTCCATTTTCTCCCGTGCCTCTTGATGTTTTTTAACACTTGTATTCCACATCAGGGTCCAAGCAAGGTTCACACCTTGTCTTTGCTGATATAGCTCTTAAATCTTGATCTCCTGGGTGGGCCTTCTAACTTTTCTTCCTTTGTTGGTGAAAAAGCCTTCTGTTCGCTAGCCGTGCCCACAGACTGGATTTTCCTGAATGCATTAGCGTTCCCAGTGTCATTAAGAACTTTTTTTGTCTTCTGTATTTCCCGAAACTGGTAGTTGGATCCAAAGGCTTGATCTGATTCAGACTGATCTGATCTGACTTTCTTCCCCAAGTATTCATCATAGGTAGTGACTGGTGTGTTCTTCCTCTGGGAAGTACATTATGTTCGATTTTTTTTAATGTGTTACTATTTATTTTTGAGAGAGGGAGAGAAAGAGCATGAGTCAGGGAGGGGCAGAGAGAGAGGGAAACAGAATCCGAGGCAGGCCCCAGGCTCTGAGCTGTGAGCACAGAGCCCAGTGCAGGGCTCGAACTCCCGAGCAGTGAGATCATACATAACCTGAGCCGAAGTCGGACGCTCAACCGACTGAGCCACCCAGGAGCCCCATCAGTTTTTTTTTTTTAAACCAGCTTCTTAAGTTCTTGGACTAAACAGTGTTTCTCCTTCTTTATCATTGTAAGCTTGGTGTTCCAAGGTCAACTTAAGTTGAAAGTCATTTCTTTCTTTAGGCGTTGGGAAGGAGGACTATCCTCAAACTCAGGGCGATTTCTCATTTGACGAAGACAGCAGTGATGCTCTGTCTCCAGACCAGCCAGCCAGCCAGGACTCGCAGGGGTCCGCCGCTTCCCCGACTGAGCCAAAAGTTAGTGAATCGCCGTCTCCCGTGACTACAAGCACTCCAGCCCAGGTATCAGCTTTCTTGTTTCTGCCCCTTAATAGAGACCATGCCCTGTTTTTTGTATATCAAGGTAATTACATTTTCTCCAGAAGAAAAGTCTGAAAGTGTGGGAAACTACAGACTTATTTTTCACCTGTAATACAAACACTGTTAACATTTTTCAGTAGATTCTTACATTTCATTTCTGTTCTATACACACACTTTTATTTTACAAATGGTTGTGTAACTTGCTTTTTAAAATGTTTCACATAACTTTTGTTGGGGGTATAATTCGCACACTATAAGATATAACCCTCCCCCCCCCCCTTTTTTTTTGCCATCTTAACCATTTTAAAATCTGTAGCTCAGTAGTGTTAAGTACACTTGTGTTGTGCAACAAATACCCAGAACTTTTTGTCTTAAAAAACTGAAACTGTGGCCATTAAACAGTAACGCCCCATCCCCCTTCCTTCCAGACCCTGATGATCGCCCATCGTTGCATTTCTGTCTCTAAGAATCTGACTCCTTTAGGGTGGGGGATGGGTGAAATAGGTGAAGGCTGTTAAGAGTACACTTACCATGATGAGCACGGAGTAATGTATAGAATTGTTGAATCATTATATTGTACACCTGAAACTAATATGACGTGTGTTAACTATACTGGAATTTAAGTAAATATGTACATACGTACATATGAATTTGACTCCTTTAAATGCCTCATATAAATGGAATCATGCAATATTTGCCTTTTTATGTCACTTAACGTAATACCTTCAAGGTTTGTTGATGTTGTAGCATGTGACAGAATCTCCTTCATTTTTAAGGCTGAATGGCAGTCCATTGTATGGATATATACCATACTCTGTGTATCCACTCATTGGCAGTCATTGACTTCCATCTCTGGCTATTGTGAGTAACAGCCCTAGGTACATGAGTTTGGAAATATCTCTTTGAGACCCTGCTTTCAGTTCCTTGGGGCATATACCCAAAAGTGGGATTGATGGGCCACATGGTAATTCTATGTTTAGTTTATTAAGGAACCTCCGTGCCGTTCTCCATAGCGGTTGTACCGTTTCACACTCCCGCATGCGTGGGTTTCAGTTTCTCCACGTCCTCACCAACACTTAATAGTTTATGCTCTTTTGATAATAGCCATTCTAGTGTTATGAAGTGGTATCTCACTGTGGTTTTGATTTGCCTTTCTCTAATGAGTAGTGCTGTTAAGCATCTTTTCATATGCTTGTTGGCCATTTGTATGTCATCTTTGGAGATATGTCTGTTTGAGTCCTTTGTCCATTTTTAATCAGATTATTTGTTTTTCTGCTATTAAATTATAGGAGTTTTTTGTATATTAACCCCTTATCAGATATATGATTAGCAAATATTTCTCCCATTCTTTGTGTTGGTCCTCACCTTTTACTGATAGTGTCCTTTGATGCACAGAAGGTTTTCTTTTTTTAACGTTTATTTATTTTTGAGAGAGAGAGCACGAACAGGGGAGGGGCAGAGAGAGGGAGACACAGAATCCAAAGCAGGTTCCAGGCTCTGAGCTGTCCGCACAGAGCCCAACGCGGGGCTCGAACTCAGGGACCGCGAGATCATGACCTGAGCCAAAGTCGGACGCCCAACCGACTGAGCCACCCAGGCGCCCCCTCCATAGTTTTTTATGCATACGTTGTTGGGCACTTGTCTTATTATTTCTTTGGATAGTTACCAGGTTTTGAAATGGATTTGGACCTTTTTAGGTAAAAGGTGGGCATTTCAACTGCCTTCCGAGAAGGTAATACGGTTCCCACAGTCATTGTGTCTTTACCACAGGTAGGTAATGTCTTCACTGTAAACCTCGCACACTGTTTGGAGAGTTCAGTGTTGTAACTGGCTTCTTGATTTGGGTTAGATTGAACTTCTTTGTTCGACAAATATTTACTGAGCACGTATTATGTGTCAGATTGTTTTGGGAACTGAAAATCTAGTGCATGCAAAGGAATCTAACAAATAGTTTTTAATAATTGCATTGGAAATTCCCATTTCTTACTTTCCAATGGGTGTTCATGTTTCGTTTGGTTATGTAAGAAGTCTTATGCTGCACATAAGTTAGTTGTTCATCTCTTTATAGTCTTTTTTTGCCTTACTGAAATTTTAATGCTATTTAGTTATCTTTAAGCCAGAGCTATTGAACTACTTAATGGAACTGGTTAAGTTCATTAGAAAATGTTCTTGTTAAAGCCAAGTATCATAGCATTTTTGAGTTGGGAAGGAATTTAGCAATTACCTGCCTTAACCCTTACACCAGGGGAGGCGTGGGTTCAGAGGGGTGTGGAAATTTGGTGATTAAAAATGTTTGCATATTTTCTTTCAGCATTTCTTCTCATTCCTGAATGTCTGTTTGTTAGGGACTAGGTCTTCCCGCAGGATTTTCCTTACTGACCTTATCACCATGATCTGAAATACATTCATGCGTTTGCATATTGTGTCGATGCCTCCAACTAAACTGTGAGCCCTTGAGGAGAGGGACTTTGACGCTCAGAGAGGGACGAGAGCTACTTTAGTGTGTGTGTGTGTGTGTGTGTGTGTCTGTGTGTGTGTGTGTGTGTGTGTGTGTGTGTGTGTGTGTGTGTGATGTGTCTGTGCGTCTGCAACGTCCAGCACTGGGCCTGGTACAGAAGAAGTGCTCAGTGAATGTTGAACTGAATTCAGCACAAGCGCTGACTGATGCCAGGATTGTAGAAGCAGTCAGTGTTTGTGTTCTTCCGTTTGAGAGCAGAGCCTCTCCGGCTCAGATTCATCCAAGGTAGTGCGGGCAGCTGGGTTCAGATTGTCCTATCAGAGTTTCAGGGTGAGAGCCACTGGCCTCTCTGCTTGGCTAGAACCTGGTCTGGAAGGAGGTGGGGTCAGCGACCAGACCCACGGCCTGAGGTCTGAGCAGGCAGACAGGGAGACCAAGGGAGCCCAGCCCCTACTGTATTCTCACATATTTGCTGTGCCCTGGGTTTGAGCTTTAAAAATAGGGCTAAAAAGAATGTCAGGTATGCAAGTCAATACCATTAAAAAACAGTTCTACTTACCCATCTTGGTTGTTTGTTCTCAGCTTAGGTCAGGATATCAGACAGCTATCAGAGTGGGCTTGGCTTTAGTGACATGGAATTTTTGTCCTGTCAGCCATCTGCCTGGTGATGGCCTCATGACAGCCCCCCTGTGTTGTAGGAGATTAGCGTTTTCCCGTCTCTGCACTGCTTGTATTAAGTCTTCTGCTTTGCTCTTGAAACTTGGTCTCCAGCTAAGTTTCTAAGTGAGAACCCTTAACCAGAGAGAGTCCCGCCCCGTGGGCTGACATTCCTGAATTCCTTGAAGGAATAAAGGAATAGCAGTGTTTCCTGAAGAATCAGTCTGGTCAGTTTATTGCCAGTGCAATACACATGAAGCCCTGGGGTCGTCGGGAACTTAAACACTGGCTTTTAGAACACTGATGTTGCTGCAGCCCCAGCTCTGCCTATTACGTGCAGACCCTTAACAGTCTGCTTTTTATCTGTCGGCTCGGCCTGCGCCGGAAGCCCCACTTCAGAGAGAGGGGTATGCTGCCTGCATAGACATCCAAGTAGAAGAACCTAGAACCTCAGGCTGGCCTGCCGCACGTTTACCTGTCACATAATTTCTGCACCACAAACCTTGAGACCTTCTTACGTGGCATGTCCTTCATAAAATTCCCTTGTAGTGTGTTAGTATTTATAAGGAAAGAATCTGACAAAGATTCTCATTATTATATCACACCTCGATTCACTCGATTAAAGAAGCATCTCCCTGTTAACTGTGCTCTACTGATGTTGAAGAAAAATAATCCTTGAGGAGGATTCTAAGTATGTTGTAGGTTTGGGGGGTTTGTTTTTCAGTCGACTGCACAGGCAACTTTGTGATGCCTATAACGTCTTCGGGATTTTTGTGTCATCTAGAAATGACAATTAGGGTCTGTTTTGGCACATTTTGTACTTTAATTGTTTTCACTGTTCTCTAGTGTTGGTTTATGAATTTGTCCAGGCATCTCACTTCATATATATATAAAATATATTTGTTTCCCTAAACGTGATTACTTTCGCATCCGTAGCTCAAGGGAAAAGTACCTGAAAACACTGCTTCTCATTAGACATCGAGTTTCCAAAGGGCTGGGATGTCCCCTCATTCTATCTTGGTGACATCATCCTGAACATGCAGGGTCCAGCACACGGCAAGTGCTTATTGCTTGAATGAATGAAAAACTTGGGAGATTATCTCTGTAATTTCTTTTTTTTCCTGCTTTAGAATTATCACTGTACTTCCCCAAAGTCAGTCTCCTCCCTGTTATGGAAACAGTCCGTATAAAGACAGGACAACAAAACAACACAGACAGCTTATAACTTGGGTGTCTTAGTTTTCAGTCTTTAAAATGGAAACTCAGGGCAGGAGTTCGGATGGCGAATTTTGTTACTATAGACCAGTGGTCCTCAGGTTGCCTGGAGTGAAAGACTAGTGTGTGTTTTTTACATAGCTTGTTTTCCAGATCATTGTGGACCAGTCTTCTTGCACAACACAGCGAAAGTAGTAGGGTAGCACCAGATTTCTGTGGGACTTCCCGTACTTGTAGCAGGCAGGTAACAAAAGTCCATAGACCCTACTTAGAGTAACTGTCATAGATTTCGCTTTCTTCTTGTTTGCTGGAACCAGGGCTTTTTTGTATGTTAATTAGTCATCACTTCGCGCTACACATTTAATCACATGATTAAAACACATTTTTCTGGGGCGCCTGGGTGGCGCAGTCCGTTAAGCGTCCGACTTCAGCCAGGTCACGATCTCGCGGTCCGTGAGTTCGAGCCCCGCATCAGGCTCTGGGCTGATGGCTCAGAGCCTGGAGCCTGTTTCCGATTCTGTGTCTCCCTCTCTCTCTGCTCCTCCCCCGTTCATGCTCTGTCTCTCTCTGTCCCAAAAATAAATAAACGTTGAA